TGTGATATCTGCGGCAAGATGTTTGCGTGCCAGAGTGCCTTGGAGATTCATTATCGTAGCCACACCAAAGAACGTCCTTACAGCTGCTCCGTCTGCAACCGGAGGTGCACGACCAGGGGCAATCTGAAGCAGCACATGATGACCCACAAGATAGACTTTCCCAATCAGATGTTCGAGAGCGGCCCGGCCGTGGGACCGAACCCCAACATGCCCGGCTTGGTGCCCGGCACGGTGATGCCCCTTATTAAGCCGGAGCTCGACGGGAACAAGTTTATTTCCTCCAACGACCGCCCGGAGATGCGAGCCAGCTTGCCGGTGGGCTCCTCGCTCAGCACCATGCCCGTTCTTCCGTCGATCCTGAGCCAGCAGCCACCCCCGCCGCCACCGCGGCGCACGCCCAAGCAGCACATTTGCCACACGTGTGGGAAGACGTTCTCGTCGGCGAGCGCGCTGCAGATCCACGAGAGGACCCACACGGGAGAGAAACCCTTTGCTTGCAACATCTGTGGCCGCGCCTTCACCACTAAAGGAAACCTGAAGGTGAGCGTCCTAAAGTGTAAGCACTGCTATAACAAATGGCCAGGCTACTGGATGTAAGGGAAGAATGTGATTTGCTGGCATTCAGAGCGAAAAATAAAAGCCACTAAGTTACCGTAAAATGCAAATATTTATAACCACAAAAGAAATATATATGTATTCGGATTTTGTATTATTAGTGCATTTAATTATTCCATTCAAACGTAAGTGGTATTACGCTTAGGATGTTCTTACATATAATGTGTTTAAGTGTGTTAAAGATACGTAGAAGTGTTGCTGAAGGTTTTCCCACGTTGCTGTAAATTGTGAATTTGTTTTAAGCGCCGTAGCGTCCGATGTGTACAGAACACGTTTGCATGAATAGCGCTCTATCAATAGTACAATTTACTTTAATGACTGTGCTCTGCTTATTCTGTCAAATACCCAGCAAAAACAATTAAATATCCTACAGCTTTTGGTACTGTTGACTCTCTTGACGCAAACAGTTATTGTTTGATCCCACCGGATATAAACCTTAAGTGTAGATTCAGCCCAAAACATGTTTTGGTTTGATGGTGTTTGGATAAGAGGCTACTTGTGTTCAAACAGCATAAATTTAAACAATTCCCCTGAAAACAATTATCGTGTGGCAACTTGAGCATATGTTTGTGCCTGCCGGGTTATTGTACCTTTGTGAAAGAAAAAAAAGTCAAACAAGTTCATTTTTATTAACTAGGTTAGCAGGTGTGTTTTTTGATTGCTGTGATTTTTCATTCTTGGTAAAACACAACGAAGTTGAACTTGCTTAATATTGCACGTGGATGATGCGTCACAGTTTCATAACTTAACTTGCACTGTTTGTCTTTCGTGATATAAGACCAACATTGCTACATACCAATATTTCACTGTTCTGTGACAATAATTGGCGCGTGGGACATAACAGAGCTGTGTTAAATGAGCGGCCAGCGCGTGGTATAGATAATAAACATCACAAAGATTTGCGATTGGGTTCTACCGCGTGGTGATCGCCACAATGTCTGCCGCTTTGCTGCACGCTCTGGGAGCTTCTGGTGGAATTGACGAATGCAACTGAATATTCAATACGGGTAACATAACAAGAATATGAGATCCTGAAGAAGCTCCCGGGCGCATGGAGTGAAACGTCGGACATCGTGCCGAGACAACAAGCGGTGGTGACTTGAAAACACATTGGAGAGCGCTGTGTTCAGCACAACCGCCGCAAAAAAAAACCCCAGCGCAAACCCCCCCCCCCTCCCCCACAGTTTAACCCAACAGCGAGGCTTCTTTTCTCCCATTTTTATTATCTCTTAATGAAAAAAAATGACTGGCAGCGATAGCACACCGTTGTGATATTAAGCACAGTTCATCGTATTATAAACATATTTATATTTTTAGAGAATAGTCACGAGTCAACTGCATGCGGGTACTGAGCTGTTGCTGTTTATTCTTGTCTATTGCACGTTGCAGGTGCACATGGGCACTCACATGTGGAACAATGCACCCGCTAGGCGGGGACGTCGCCTCTCTGTGGAAAACCCCATGGCCCTTTTGGGCGGTGACCCCCTCAAGTTCTCAGAGGTCTTTCAGAAGGACCTAGCGGCCCGTGTCATGAACTCCGATCCGGCCTTCTGGAACCGCTATGCCGTGGCTTTCACTAATAGCCTCTCGATGAAGACCAATGAGATCTCCGTCATTCAGAACGGCGGCATACCGCCCATCCCCGTGAGCCTCGGAGGAGGGGGCGTGGGGGGCGGTCGGAGCCCCCGAAGCCCCCAGGTGGCGGGCGTCATTGGCGTCATGGAGAAGGCTTGCCCACCTGAAAGTCCCGTTCTTCCAGCGTCCGAGAAGATGGCCAACGTAGTAGAGAACGAACAAAACCATCACTTTGCCCGCTTTATGGAGGACAATAAAGAGCTTGGAGTCAACTGAGAAGAAGATCTCGTCATGATTAAAGAAATGAAAATAAGATTTTTTTAAAGTATATTAAACAAAAAAATGGAAACTCCAGTAACTTGCTCATGAACTGGTTCCTCAGAATGGCATTAGCAACATTCATTGACGAGTCTCTGCAGAAGTGGCAGCAGTCCTATTGTGAAATTCAGGCTTGAATTACTGTAAATATTTAAGAAGGTTACTTCTTATACTCCCTTTGTGAATGTGTGTGAATTCTGATTATTTTCGGCCTCGGCACATTCGACCCACCCTTGCCCTTTGACCCTTGACCCTCCCCCCCACCTCTCTTCCCCTGTGCCCGTCCCCCCTTATCCAGACAAATTAACAGTACCAACATATATAACATGGTGGTAATTTATTAATTAAAAATATTTGTCTTAATATATGTAGTACGTTATTTGTTAGTTTTATGCCTGCTTTACTGAAGGAGTTTTTGTAAAAGGTATAATATGCATCAAATTTGATAGTGTTTTTAGGTAATCAGTCTACGCTGAACAGCATGCCCATTCAATTATGGTGTGTGTCACTGTAAAAGTCAGAACTTGATGTAACCCGAAGACTTGGCACCACGGTGCTGACGAAAACTGCAGTTTAGACCACAACTGTAGGCTTAAAATTGCTGCGTAAAAAACTGGATTTGTGGCTTATTTTGTAATTTCCTAACATTTAGCGTAACTTAGCTGCATTACATTTATTTCTACACCTGTCTTATGCCTAATACGGTACCATTGCATGCTTGGTCATTGGAACAAGCATACCACGTACTTGTCTGTTGTTTATCAAAAAATATGAAGAAAAAACTGAAAAAAAATGAACTTGTTTGATAACGTTGCGGTTCTTACACAAAGAGCTGTTTTGTGGGTCCCATTTTACACAGGCGGTATATCTGACTCCTAGTGAATGTTTTTAAGTGTTGCTCTCTTTTGGTGATTTTTTTTATGTGATCCAGTAAAAAAAAATCAAATTAAAGAAGAGATTCAAACCTTCATATACACGTGTGAGCGTTTGGACAAGTCACGTTAGTATATTTAATTTTGTTTCATTCTACGGTGAAAAACATTAACTCCCAAGGCGTTTATTGTTTTAGCGAAATAAAAGTTCTCCCTCGAGTACACGAAACTCGTACTCCTCGTTGAACAAATGATGCAGGATATTGCAAAGAACAGCACAAATGTAAAACTGATGAACCAAGCTTAATTTATCTGACCCAGCAATCGGTGGACATCAATACAAGGTTATTAGTTTCAATACATTAATTTAAAATATGAGGTACATAAAAATGTCCTTGGAACACTTTAGATGACACCGAAAAAAGCGGGCAGTCAAAATGCTTGATGTAAATTTTGGAATATCGAATGCTTTAGCAGACATGAGGCGTCTTCTTGTCGATAATTAGCAAAGAGAGTGATGACAGAATCGTAATGAGGGTTTCAGATCATGCAAATTGCCCAATACGGTGCGTGTCTTAAAATGTGTGTGCGCTTCCTTCCAGCAAATGAAAAATTGTATGCGTTTTTTAAATAGGTAAACTCATCTGAGAAATTCTATTGCTGGTTATAGATTGGGCTTAGGGAGAGAGAGTCATAAACGGATATAAATTACCTCAATTTTTAACCATATTGACAGTGCTTTCTGGGCGATTGATTTGTCTTCTCCACATAAACTTACGCCAAACAAGGCCATTCAATTCCCTTTGCTTTTTATATCCTTGCAAGCTTGCAGCAGCAGCAGGAGGAGGCTTAAGAGCTTTGTGTGTGAATGTTTTGGAGGTGTAATTGTGTATTAAATTACCGCTCTAGAATGCCGCACAAATGTAATTTATTATTGAAAGAGTAATGCGTGAAACTCCCCTTCCCCCTTGCATCCATTGCCCTTTGCAGTTCTACATTATTAAACACATTTCTGATCGTACAGCTTGGCACTTTTTTTTCCATTACCCCGTCCGAGATGTAAATGAAAGCGGTTGGGATGGGGGTGGGCGAAGGGCGGGCGTGGGTGGGAAGGGTTAGGAAGGGGGGGGGGGGTCTCGTTTTTGGGATGTGCCAGGCCCCTCTCGTAGCGTATCGATGGAGATGTCACTCTACCTCATTTTGTGATGATGCCCATGGTGGGAGAGTCCCAAGCTGGACTGCCATCAATGTCAAATCCTGGATTGTCGGGGTGGGGGTGGTAGGCTTGGGGGTTTGGGGGGGACATTCCAGTGATGATGCAAGTGGGAAAGCTGCCTCTTTGCTCATTACGTATTGACCATAGCTTACATGAAGACAAGTAAATTGACCTGTCACTTTTTTGGGCCATTACGGCCGGTGCTGACCAACGAGTAATAATAAAGGCTTCACCCTGCCCCCCACCTTACACACACACGAACCCCTTCCGTGGTGTAGCCCCCTAACCCCCCCCCCCCCCATGACTGGCCGGTGGCTCCCTGTAGATAAAGCAAAAAAAAGGTAAATTGTTGATCAAGTTATTTTTTCTTTCACATGTGCTGCCGTGTCGTGTTTTTTTTATAACTTTGGTTGTAATTACAATTCGCATTCTTCCTTAATACTATTCCGCTGCTGGCATGGCATGTCTTCCTGTTGAGTGTTTAGGCCGTCAATGTTCCAGCGAGGTCTGGTTATTGTTGCGACCGCTTTTTTTTTAATCCGTAGTTCAAATTCTTGGCGCGCAGGTCAGGGCCTCCACTTGTCGCGCGAGTCACCGTTTGGGGCCGCCCTGCTAAAGTTGTTGTGCGTTTGACCCCACGTGGCGCTTGTAAATATCTCGGCAAAACAAAAAAAACCACAGATGTCACACACTAACAACCAACATCGTTCTGTTGTCTGGACTTAGTTGAGCTTTTTGTTTTTGTTTCTCCATCGGAATACAATGCATATTATTTTTGTATTTACTCATTGGTCGACGATGTGTGTGGGGCATTAGACCATGGACAAGTTTTTTTTGCTGATCTTTGTGTTTTGTGTCGTGTTCTTCCTGTCCCCCCCTCCCATAAACCCATGTCAATTTTTGTAAAAAATAAGTGCGCATTCGACATGTATGGTTATAGATGCAAGCGATGGTTTAGTGTAGATGCTTCTGTTTTTAATGTAAAATAAATATTTGCATCTTTTAGTAATCTGTGTGCATGTGATTTTGTAAAGATAGAAAGGTGCGGGTTTCGTTATTATTGTTGAAATGATACTCGCCAATAATATTGTACTGTACCAATGGTATGGTGCGTTTATTTAACAATATTAATAATTACGGATTTTTGAAAATGTTGCCTTGACTGACGGTTACAGTCCAGTATTCGTAACTTTCATGGGATGTGCAATGTTATTTTATTTTTTAACCAGCATACCGACCCGACATCTCCCTGTGTCATGCGTTACGTTAACTTGGAATGCACATCGCGTGCACCTCGGTTAATGAAGCATATGCAAATGCTCAGGTCGAATTGTCTGCAATCAAGCCACATATACACACATAGACGCACAATATCCCTGAACTAATTCAATCAAATTATGCAAAGGCCGCAATGTCCACGTGTGTTTGTTGCTTCGAGGGAGACCCAACTCCCAAGACAAAACCGCTCTTAATCGTGTAACTACACATGGTGGGGCCGCATGGTGGAGGCTGATCGACACACCAGTCTCAAGACTTCCTTGATAAGGTAACGCAAACTTGAAAGGAACCCTCGGCCGCTTCGTGACACATCGCTGCAGTGACATCGTGACACATCGCTGCAGTGACATCGTGACACATCGCTGCAGTGACATCGTGACACATCGCTGCAGTGACATCGTGACACATCGCTGCAGTGACATCGTGACACATCGAGAGACGTTCTCTCCTCAGCGTTGTGACGTCGAGGAGGACGCGGCTCACGAAACTGCGGCTCGTTCTCTAATACGCGAAAAGGGATATTGGATTTCGACGGTGGCGTATCCATTATGTTCCAAATCGTGCGTGAGGTGCACACGTGTTGCCTCATTAGGGGGGAGAGGGCTTTCTCAATGGGGCAGGCTGCCACGATCAGGTTTTCTGGCACCTCCGATGAGCACGGTTGACTACGCACGGTGCGAAAGACGTCAACATGCACACATGCATGCGTACAACGTAAAGCAGTAGGGTGATGACTCTGCACTCGCCGATTCACTCCGGTCAACAGCTGCCCGGCGGTCAGTCGACTCTCTGTCCACTCGTCTGTCGCTGCTACCCTCGTTCGCGTTCAACGTGATCTTCCCATGTGGAGGAATTGTTTCGGCTCATCCACAGTGTCTACGCGCCACACGAGGTCGCATGTGTACATGTAGAACTTCTTTCGCACCGTACATAGCCAACCGTGCTAATTCGGAGGTGCGGGGGAAGGACAACAAACTGTACACAAACATCAGTCCGAAAGAAATGAGTTTTCAATTTGGGTCACAACACTTCTCTCTCTCTCTGTTATTTTCCTCGCATTTGTTCGCCTTTATAAACCCCCCCCTCCCCCCCATCGTCACCAACTTCGTATCATCTTCCCCAGCTCAACACACGCATTGCCGCATCTATTGCACCTTCAGTGGTGGCGTGTGTCGCTGGCCGTGATGGCGTACTGGGTCTGCACGTACTCGACAACCGCGACCTGAAAACAAAACGGCGAGGCCCGGAGCTCGTCCGTGTCGGGGTTCCGGCAGTCGGCACCCGGCGTGTGGAGAAGGGCATGGAGGGGGAGGCCTGCCGAGTAGGTAGGGGAGAGAGGATGAGTGGGAAGGAAACGCGTTCGGAGTCCAGGCAGCAATCCCTCTTGCTCATCCTTCCTTCTGACTACGCATCGAGGGCATTAATGGGAGCCCCCTTTGCAGACGCTGAGGCCACTACTGTCACGCGAGACAGTATACACACAGCACGGGAGAGAAACACCCCTTCGCTTGCTTGCTGTGTGACCTTAGCACGGCTCGGTATGGAAGGCGGGTAAACGTTGGTCATCGTTTTGTCCGTCCCTATCAAAACGACGTTTTTCTCTCTGGGTCTGTGCCTGCTAACCACCCCCCCCCCCCCCCTCGATTGATGGACCGTGCTGCCAACCCAAGCCCCAGTCTCCACCCCGGCCCCCAGTGAGACTCGCCACGATTGGAGCGCAATTGAAAGACGCGAATCTCGCGTGCGATTTGCGTGCAAGGCTCTGCGACGTGCGCTCGGGTTGCACCTGCAGAGGCCGTGAGACAGACACAGACAGAGAGAGAGAGAGAAAGTTCGGAGACATCGTTCGGAACAACGCCGAGAGCTGTCCAGCGCGACTGCGCTTCCCTCCCCCTGTGGCCAGGCGTGGCTCCTCTCGCGACGCGAATGAAGAGGAGGCGCCGCGGGGCAAGAGCGACGCGCAGCGATGTCGCGATAACAACACAAACACATTAGTGCGGGGGGTGTCTGTGTCTACAAGTACACTCGGGTAGGACTTCATCCAGCAGCGGATTGACCATGACTTCTTGACGACGATGAAGGGAGCTTCAAACGGGTGTCACGCAGCTACCCGATACATAGCCGAGTTTGTGTGTTAGCCTCTTTGGCACCGTGCGTAGCCAACCGTGCTAATCGGGGGTGCGAATGTTAGAGATAGCGAGCTACCTTGCCAGAGAGAACATGTTTCGTTTTTTGTAAGCTGCCTAATTTCCCCCTCTTGGCCACCACGTGCAACGTTGAGTGTGATGCTTTTGGTAACTGTCTTTGGTTACAATTCGTTATTTTTATTATAAGACGGCTAACAATGCAATACCATTGTACACGCATCTGTGTGCATGCTATTGCATTGTTGTCGACAGTGGCTGCAACATTTACGACTTTGAATAGGCGCGCTCATCGTCCGCCTGCAGGACCTCAATTCACGCACAACGACAAAGAGGGTCCGGCAATAAGAGACGAGTCGATGTATGCCGGGGTGGAAGTCGTGGAACCGCCGCTTGGTGACAAAATAACCCCCCCCCCCCCACGGCCTCTTTGCCAGCTTGTGGAATTATCATCGTCAACATTATCAGCAACGGTCAATCCACTGCTGGATGAAAGCATCTCCCAATTCGCCGCAGTCTTTCTCACGACCATGCGATGTCACGATCCATCTCGTGGACTTGTCCGCTCTTCGGATAAACAAAAGCAGATAACCCCCCCCCCCCCGTCACTCATTAATCTAGGACTTTTAAATTAATTTGTTTTGCGAAGGCTTGAGTATTTTAAGGTGCGTCAATTCGTCTCGTCCCTTGCTTGTGCGCGATGCTGGATCTTCAATCTTCCTTCCGATCTGAAAAGACAAAATAAATAGGAATGTAAACGCCACACGCAATGCGCACATGGATCACGTCTCCTCCTCCCCTTTCCGTCTTCGGCGTATCTTGTGTCCGTTCCATTGCTCTTATCCATTGCAACGCCTTTACCAGCACGTTTTACTCTTCCCCGTGAACTTCACCCAATGATCTATCTGCCCACGATGAGGACTCGGCGTGCCGGGCTGTTTCTCCCCATCCACGGCCGTGTTCAACCACCGCACTGCAGATCCCCTGACACTGCCTGACTTTGTGGAATTCACTCGCAGCGCGTCAACGGTGTCCAAGTTCCTCTTATTAACGTGACTCGATTAAAGAGACCTCAATACGTCCGTATCTGCTACACGTGAACTCGTGCTGTGTGTTGCCGGCCGCTTGGAGTTTTGGCCCTTTTGTGCCTGTGGTCAACAAACGTTATATACATGTTTACATAACGTGCACAACTCAACACGAGCAACAATAAACAACCTTAATCCTGTAGGAAACGTGCAGAGAGGCTGGTTGTATGTCCGGGGCTGTAACAACGATCATTGGAATCTCCGTTAATGAGAAGCCTAAAAAACGAGAGAGAGAGAGAGATTCTCAAAGCCGTCACCGGCGCTGTGGTGACGAGGGCGCTCGCGTGGAGCGTCAAAACCACCCCGTGCTGACGTCACTACGGCCATCCTTCGGGCAGGTTTCAAATCTTCACATTTCTCTGTTTCAACGGAGACTCAACCTGGCGCGAGACGGCCCCGGAACTCGCAGCTAACGTGTTTGTCTACATATATATGTCGCTCTGTGCTACGAGGAAGGTGCCAATGCCCTAAACGTGGATTATTATATTTTAGATGTATATGAATGTTAGGGCAGTGTTAGTGAAGGATGTGCTGCGTGGTTGTGTTGTTGTTATTTGTGCTTGTGCACCACTTGCCAACAAAGACAAAGATCCCCCGTATAGCCTGCGATAGACTGTTGGGGCAAGTGCTGTTAGCGAGCACCGATGAAGGCCCGAACGGTGCACGAGGGGGTGGGTGGCCAGCACCACGCCCGACCGCCTTTGTCTCCCCTGGTGGTGATGTTTACACACCACACCACGTACTCATTTGAGGCTGAGTCGACCTAGGGGAGGCCCATGACCGGTTCAGATAACGGCAGTATCACAAACACTCGCGTGTGTTATCTTCAAGGGCTGTTCTTCCCAGGACTTGTCTAGAAGTTGTGTCTTATGTGTAAATATTTGCACGGGTGTTAAACATGTATATTTATAATCTTAAACATACCTGAACTCACGGCAATAATTTTTAAATATAGCGTGCATTGTTTTAAACGTCATGTATATACAGTATATAATTTGATACGCACATCTGTAAAGTATATGCAATTGCGAGTTAAGTTCAAGGAATTCCGAAATATTTGGACAAGGTAATCTATCTGTAATGATGATGCACATGTACAGCCTTCGTATCAATCCACTGCTGGATGAGGGGTCTCCACACCAACGCCGTGCGGGTTCCTGGGGGTTAAATGACCACATTTCACCCACTCTGCTCTGGCCAGTGCGGATTGGTGAAGGGTGCCGTGTGAAGAGCAGGACCCGTTCTGGTATATTCACCACGGATGGTAGCCGTGGTCGGGAATCGAACGGGCTTCGTAGCGCAACGGAGGGCGCTCACCACTTCGCCACCACTCCTCATTGCCCCCACAACTATTCCCCGGGTAGTAAATACGGCGACTCGTTTAATGTTTTGTAAGATAATTCTATCGGTCGAATGTCACCACCAATATTGAGATTCATAATTAGTTTGTTTTTGGGTTCGTCAGCTATTGTATTCTGGATCGATATTTGGCGTGCGTGTTATAAAATATTAAATGTCTTGTTGCATACGCTCGTGTTCGGAATCCCATGACTAAAATCAGCGTACACACGAATCTTTTGTAATGTTTCAGATTCAAGAGCTCTCGTATTTACCCGCTGAAAAATAATACGTCCACATTCTGCTGCTGTTAGAGTTGCTCTTTGTGTTTCGCGTCTTGTCTGTCCCCCGCATTTCCTATGAGCACGGCTAGCTGCGTACGGTGCAGAAGAAGTTCAACATACACACGTTGACCCGTGTACTATATGAGGATATAAAATATATAAATTAGCACACATTACATTTCTTTCCTTATGAGTCTACTTCATTTTGCAGTCGTCTTCCTGAACAGTTCTTTGTAAGAGTACTCTCATAATGATCTAATTAAACCATTAAGTTAAATTGAAAGATATAGCTGCTATTAATTTTAATGTATAACTTTGTGTCTTGATCATATTCCGGTTTTGATTATCTCTCGTGTGATTGTATACACAACAGGTGTATTTATGTTTACTTACGCGTGTGTACACAAGCATGTAAGTATAGAAGCATTGCTTAAGAAAAGTATGACTTCCATCCACAATGTAGACTACAGTACGCTCGTGCAGTATAGCACAAACGAGTCTGAAACCTTCATTGCCTAAAATGAGATGAAATTAAACTTTAATTGTTTACTGATGTTTTAATCCGTTTATGCGTAAAATATTAATAAAACTATATATAATGTTTATGAGTTGTAGGAAATATGTACTCGCGTGTAATATTTTAAATAAAACATGGGAAATTCTGATTAACATCGGGATTCATCGCATATGTCCCAAAGGGTTACACGATGTCTTAATATGAACGTTAAGAGTACTTTTATTATATACAAAGCAACATTTTTTGGAATATGAATATATGAGAGATGAGCATTACATCAATATATTTGATTCGCTTCTTTGAATTCAATGGTGCGTTCAGACCGTATGAGATTATTATTGTATTGCTATTTTATGAATATCAAATAATACAATTATGAATAAAATTTGTCAATGTAATATAAATAAAAGAGTATGAATTCCTGCAGTCACGAAAGCTTCAAATCAAGATTATATAAATACTTCGCAATTGTTCGTCCGCCTTTGCTCACGTAGCCTGTACTGTATGTGTAGATGTAGGTTTAACTCGAATGTATACAAGAGAGTTGCGGGATTGTCGTGAGCGATACGTTTTACAGGCCTGACTTTATCAGCAAAATGCAAGTTCATTTACATTTACAAGTGCTGATACAGATTGAGACAGCACTCAAACGCCACTGTCACCACCGCCGACGCACCAATGTACGCGGGAAACGGGAGACACAAAACTGCGACGCGAAAACCATAATTTATACAAACGAACGCGACCAACACAACGTGTGCCCACTTGCGGTCACCACAAGAACCCGGAGCGTACGGTGACGGCACCGTCGTGATGACGCCATCTGGTTACGCGCGCCACGCGTTAACTCGCTACGGTAGCTCGAGGTCGCGCGCACGGCATGGAAACGAGCGCTAGCCACACACGGAGTTCTGTGCACAATGAGGAGGCAGACGAAGCGTGAGTGTTTATTGTCCTGGGGGGGGGGGGGGGATGGTGCGTGAGTGGGTGGATTGTTGCGCGGGTGGTGGTTTGATGGGGGGCGAGGTGGCGGGGGGGCATGCAGATGTTGGGGGTTGTGGAGGGGGGTAGAGAAGGTGATGGAGTCTACAAGTGGGGGGTGAACTATGAAGGGTCGGAAGCTGTTAAGGGTCAATAAAATGGCTTACTGGAGCCGAATAGAAAGCGCAGCTCTCACGTGGCGGATGATAACAATGCGAGACGGCCGAAGCCTTGTGTCGGAACAAAACGGCGCTTTCCGCATTGCCGGCCCCATTGAACGCCCACTTGGCGCACTGTGTGCGAGCGCACGACCCCGTTTCCATCCACGGGCACGCGCACACGCGCACACGCACGCACACGCACACACACGCACACACAAACGCACACACGCACACGGGATGGAGTGCGTATTCAAGAGACACCGACTTGCCGGTAAGCGATTAAAAAAACAAAGACAATAATATCAACAAAAACAATGATACAGCTTCGCACGCGTTACCCCCGGCACAATCGCAACAACGACAACGACTACGAAAAATTGCGCAAACCCCGACGACGACGATGTTGATGGCGGTGGCGGCGACAGCGACGGCGGCGGTCGTGGCGGTGATGACGGTGGTGACGGTGGCGGTGGTGACGGTGGTGACGGCGGCGGTGGTGGACGCAGCAGCGCCGTTAAAGACACGAAGCTGGGCGAGTCACGCCGCACGCAACGGATGAACTTGCGGTCACACCGGCAGAAAAATTGCGCCTCGCTGCGCCGAGCCAAATATTCAGCTCTCCAATTAGCAGAGCGCAGGTCGCACGTAATTTATGTTGTGTATATATCGCAACAGAGCTACTGCGCTTACGCACGCACACACGCAACGGCAAATGTACTGCATACGTTACATCGTACGCGCGGGTATTCGGATGATTGTCCAAAATGTGTGCACGACACCAACGTAATCATCATCATCACTGTCAGCATCGCATAATGACAAACACACGTGGCGTGCCGACATCATCGTTGATCACAACGGCGATTGCGCGAATTTCGAAGACCTGCCGGTGCGCGCTCCCCTCTCTCTCTCTCTCTCGCGCTCCCTCTCTCTCTCTCTGTCCCTTTAGCTGCAGCTTGTTTTCTTCGCACGCCTTGCTGCGAGATGTTCAAGGGGGAAAAATGAGCTACAGCAAACTAAATACAGCTGCTCTGAATTTGCAGCAGCCGTCCGTGACTGCGCACGGTGACTGCACGCGGGTGCGTGTCTGTGTGGGGTTTTTTTTCTTCTTCACAGCAGCCAATTTGCAATGGGGGCTATTAACGCCTCCAGACTGGACATGAGTACTCAGATAAGCGAGGGACGTGGCGGGGGGGGGGGGTGTCGAGGTATCGGTCGAGACCGTGCGTTCCCAGTTGACGGAACACTGAGAATTCGGGGCAGTGAGGCACTTAGCCTTTATCATTTACGCATGCATATGTCACCGGAGCTCGTGTGCATTGAGACTCGTTCACTCGTGGGCTATGAGAAAGAACATAATTAGTAGGGATATGCTCATTTATATTTTATAGAACGTGGCTACAGCCGCATATGGCGGCGATAAAGTAACGTGCAGATGCAGTTGTGCATCGATGACCGTGGGACTGCAGTTACAATGTGCGAGGCGGGATCACTCGGGAGCCCCCGTCGGTCGATCTTCACGTGGATCCGGTCCGTGGTTTCTCTGCCGTGCGGGGCGGTCACGAGGTGGTACTCGTCAGAGTGTCAGAGCATTCGCAGAGGCTGTTGAGCTCCAAAGGTGAGGTGGGGAAGGAGGAAAGGAGGGAGGGATAAGGGGAGGAGGAGGGGGTCTGGCCTGTATGTGAGATGGGAGTCTCGAGTGTTAGTGTGTATGTCTTTGTGGAATTGTTACAGCCCGGTTGTACGTTTAAAGAGTGAATGGTTTCACATCTGCTCTTCTCCTACAGCACCAAAGGCGCCGTGCCATGCCAGCGTGCCTCTCGCGCACGGCGAGTTCCACGCACGGGTGAGGGACGCTTAGGTCCTGGCCCGGCACGGCACAGCACAGCACGTGTGCATCAGCCGCTCGATGATGTAATGTAACATTAGGGAATATATACTAGTGCCGGTTAATAACTCATGTGATGTATACAAGTCCTTGGCAATCCACTGCTGGATGAAGATCTCTCCACGTCTTGTCGGTCAAGATGTGGTTTGTTTGACCATACTCAGTGTGGGGTTATGAAAGGGAATGGATGGTTGGGGAAGAAGCCCAGGACCGGTTCAGAAATCACTTACCATTCAAACTACCTATCTGTATTGAAATGCTTAATGCAGATCCTCATACTTAAATTAATGCTCTCACCTATACTTTTTATAGCGGAGAGCGGTGGTGCGGTGGTTAGCGCACTACGCTATGAACCCTTGCAGCTCACTCTACCCAAGTTTGATTCCCAGCCACAGCTGACACAAGTGTAGAGTGATACCTGGATCGGTCCTCCTGGGTATCCCACTCGCTTCTCCAAACCGCACGTGACCAACGAGGTGAAGCATGTTCCATCCAACCCTCTTAATCGTTGAGGCATAATGGGGAGGCCTTCATCCGTGTATATATAAATATATAAAACCTGAACATACTGCTGGGGCAAGTGCTGTTCAGGAGCACCTCTAAAAGCTGGCATGGCACACGAAGGGATGGGAGGCCAACACCACGTCCAGCCGCCTCTATACCCAGAGTGACGATGTTTACACATCGCATCAGGTACTCATTGGAGCCTGAGTAGATCTAGGGGAGGCCCAGGACTGGTTCAGAGATAAGCGTCACCGGTGTTGGCCGTGAGCGGGATTCGAACTCTGGAAACCGAGTTCATAGCGCAGTGCGCTAACCTCTGCACCACCGCTACACGCAACCCGCCAAACACACACGCATTGGTCACACGCAGTGCATACATACGTGTGCATATATGTAATGACATATGCATGGCGCAGAGCGTACTGCTATGTAGCACGTATGTGTAAGCGCGCGGCTATTTTTAGCGTCGGCTCACAGTTCCCGAGGTGGTAAAGGTTGCGAGCTGACAAGGGAAACAAATCGGGCGCTAATACGTGTTGACACGTAACCCCGCGCAGCCGGCACCTTCACAGGAATACCCTGAACCTCCCCCCCCCCCACCCACCCCCCTCTCCTCCTGCACAGCCCCCGCACCGGTCCGCAAGGGGAGGGGCATTTCCGAACAATCACTCCGATGACAGAACGGGCCGAGTCGCATCACTCGAATGCGGGACTTGACAGCAGTGTGAGCGCGTGCGTGCTCGCCTCGCGACTGTGACAAACGGCAGAGGCACTGGGTCATGGATGCGACGCGTGTAGAACAAAACGACGGGAGAGGTTCCCGAAGAAGCATTGGGAGGGAGTGCAGACTTGGACTTACATTGAGAGACGCTGGGTTCAAATTGTTAAGCAAAATTAGGTGGGCTTTGGGAAGGACACGTGACGGGATGATGACCGATGGTGAAGAATAATCACTGAGTGACAGCCAATGAGCGCATCACGTCGGAGAGGGCGCACGCCGCTGAGATGGAGCGATGGGATCGGTCTGCAGTTGCTCGCATGAATTATGATCACATCGCAGAATCCCGTCGGCGGCTTGAGGAGGCCTTCATCCAGCAGTGGATTGGCCATGGTTGATGATGGCCACATGAGTATGGCAGTGTAATGTCCACGTTTTTTTGGTATCTTACTCGTTTTTATCCGCACCGGCCGTGTAAACGGGTACATCACAGTTTGGTCGATCCACAGGTGGTGTTTGGTGAGGTGAGGCGTGGGTATTTAGACATCGTCCAAGAGTCCTGGCCAGCGTGGGCCCGTTACCTTCCTAAGGGGTCCACTTCGAGAGGGCTTTCTCGTGGAAGCCCTTCCGCCAGCAGTGCCGTAAGCAAGTCGTTGCGAGGCCGTACCTCTATCTTGTCTAACTACTTTACACCAGCATGGGGGATTTATCATGGTACACAGATGCCCGTGTACAACTCGATTGGATCTCATCATTCACCCTGAGTGGAAATAATGTAACCTCGCACAATCGTAATAATTAATCAACACACGAATTAGCACTGCATCGCGCGCTTTCAGATGTGCTTCTGTGGCCGTCTGGAACGCTCTTCCTTCCGATATTAGAAAGCCACTGGAGCTATGCACTTTTGAATAATATCGATTGAAAACTAATTTCTTGAGAACGGCTTTTTGTGTTTAGTGGGTTGTTCCTCCTCCACACCTCCGATTAGCACGGTTGGCTACGTACGGTGCGGAAGAAGTTCAACAAACAGTACATACATGGTCGTTACCCTCCTCGCTACCGTCAATGTTGTCCCTGCAATGTCTACGAATCAAACAGAACAAAACCACGCGCACGATTAACAATCGATTACGATGTAGAGCTAGATAACGATTCGGCCAACGATCCTATTTCAAGACGGGGGGGGGGGGTTGATTTAATTATAGTTGGTGGGAGCACTTTGCATTGTGGTGCTCTGGGAAAGTTTAATGACGTTAACAAAGTAACAGCTTTGACGTGAGACGTGAAATACAGCACCTTCGTGCAATATGAGTAGTCACAACACCGAACACGAATGGAATTGGTCAAACACCCTCATGCAGAACTTCCTGAAAAGGAGTCTTGAGACCCAGTTATCTGGATAAACAAAGGACATTATTTATTTTCAGATATATTTATTTGCACTGCATACTCGTCCCTTAGCATCTTAATGGGTAAGATCATATTGACAGCCGTCATTGTAGCGAGGAAAGCTGAGCTTCTTGATTCTCCATGAATCAAGAAGCTCAGCAAATCTCCACGGTATTTGTTGCTACGGCTTGGCGAGGCCTTCGTCCAGCAGTGGATTGACCAAGGCTCGTGCTACGAAAAAAAACATTCCTTCGGGTTTTTTTTTTTTTTGGGGGGGGATACACAGAATTGCCTGTTGGGTGCGTGCTTGTACATTGTTGTGTATACACCCCGGGGTTATTTGCTCAGCCTAAGAGCAGATTGTTCACAGATTGGAACACCAAACAAAATGAATAAAGATATAATCCAAACGCAAAGCGGTGGCGTATTTCCTGTACACGGAACGGCCTCTGTATATCCCAGCAAGAGTCACGGCATTTGAATTAAAATGCCTAATGGGACAGAGTGTCATTTCACGCCATTAGCGTTAGCGCACGTCAGCTCCAGGGCAAAATATATCAACTTACTCGTACACCTGGCAGGACGAAATGCCACGTGCACTTTGTTAATGACGCGCGGGCTATTGTGACGTACGTCGCGTGACGATTTCAAGGTAACGGAATTACAGCGCAGTAACACAACACCTTGACGGCCAGCAACATTGTGCGATTAGAGCGATAAATAGACGAGTCCATCTCATCGTCGTGTCAAATACATTGCCTGGGTTGTTCTTGTAATTCCGTTACCGATTAATTGTACTCGTATCTATATACGGACTCAACATTCATGCGCCATAGTGCAACTGTAGTACCCTCTCTGAAGCAAACAACCTGTGAGCGTCGATGATGATGATAGTAGTAGTAGTGGTGGTATCACGATGACAGTGGTGGTGGTGGTATATCCAGGATAATGATGATAGTTGTGTGAAGATGACGTTGATATGAATTATGATGAAACAATGGGGATGAAGATGATCATGATGATGGTGATTAGTAGTTTTGATAATCATGATGTTGATAGTAATAATGGTGATAGTGGTGTTGATGATGATGATGATAGTAACAGTGATGGATGTGATAAAGGTGATGACGCTCAAAGTGACGAGCGCGTGGTTAGACGCTCTTTGAGGGTCACCAAACCGAACTCGGCAAGTCGGTCCGCGTTTTGAGGCTGACGTCTCCGTGATTATGTCACGAGCCGCTATGCGTGCGCGTGCTGTAGACGCACGTCGTTGTAACCACTTCCAGCGACGGCGGAGGTCAAAAAAGCCGGGCCCGTGGTGCTTTTTTTTTGCCGAGCGCCCGCTGGTGTAATTACACGCTCGCGTTGGGCATCTGGGCGGATTGAATTGCCTGCATCTTGGAAGCATAACTTGCTGCCATCCT